CCTCGTCACCAATCAGGAAGTCGTGGGCGGGTAATGACTCCCTGTCCAGCATCCTCATTGGCCATCTTCCCGACCGATCCGGAATCTGGGCAGTTAGTCATTACATGCTGCCCGGCTTCCTGATTACCCAGGAAGCAAGCTCCATGCTCCCTCGTCATTGCAATAATTTAAAAATGAACATTCCCAATATCATGCAACATTTTCAAAAAATTATTTGATTTAAAAGGAATTAAAGAAGATCTCTGGAATTGGCCAAAACCAGAATATATATTTCCATTGTCATTGGATTAATACAGTATGTACAAACACAACACACTGTAAAGATTGTGTACAGGCATAGACTTTCCCATGTCCTAGATATCACTAATGACTTTTCTCACTGTGCAGTCCATGAGACAGATGTGGAATTATGTAAGCTATAGTATCCTGAGCATCCTTGTTAGAATGTCATCATCCGTTGGTACCAGAGATAACAGGAAAATTTTATTTTATACTTACCGCAAACTTTCCTTTCCTGACTGCTAAATGGCAGCACAGGACTATTGTGTGCTGACATGGAGCAGTCAAGGAAAAATTATTTGTAAGGCTTAATAAAAAACGTTTGGAAAGCAAGGGATGTCATATTACGTTTTTTTTTGTGTATCTTAGACCTGCCAGCTATAAGGGGGAAAGGAGAAAGTGTCTGGTAAAAAAAATTACATATATACAGGTGAAACTCTAAAAATTAGAATATCGTGCAAAAGTAATTGCAGTAAGTGCTGCAAAAGGGGCCCAAACCAAGTACTGAGTACATATGCATGCTTGTACTTTTCAGAGGTCCAATATTGTTCTATGTACAATCCTTGTTTTATTGATTGCATGTAATAATCTACTTTTTTGAGGTTGTGGATTTGGGGTTCTTGGGGTTTTCATGAGCTGTAAGCCATAATCATCACAATTATGACAAATCACGGCTTGAATTATCTTGCTTTGCATGTAATGAGTCTATCTCATATATTAGTTTCACCTTTTAAGTGGCATTAGTGAAATAAATGAACTTTGCACGATATTCTAATTATTCGAGTTTCACCTGTATATATAATATTTTTTTTGGGGGGGGATGTGTTTGAATTTAAACATAAACAGCCAGTCAACGAGTTAACCCATCTACTGTAAGTCTATTCATAACTGAAAGTGGACCTGTAGCCCTTTTAAAAACATTTCCCCCTGTTGGGATCACCGATAAAACAGATTCCCACCTTTTCTGCATACAGTCCAGGTGATCGCAATAGAGTACCATGTTTAATGTACATATTCCCTGTTATGATCATTTTCCATGTATGAACCGTTATCCATACATGCGCACTATGTTTGAGTGCATGCACTAAATGCTTTGTATTTGTGAAAAATAAAAATCTTTTGAAACTAAAAAAAAAAAACATTTCAATCAGGAAGTTTTTTTTATTGCAGAGGAGACATTGTATCTGGTCTATTTAATAAAATTTGCATAGCTATTCATCCAGCAAAATTGCAGGTACATTCATTCTGTGTGAGTTAACCAGTTCTCTTTTTGTTGAATGTTCTTTCATACAGAATGGAGTGAATAGGGAAAATACCACATTATAGCCTTTAGATGGCGCTGAGGATCAGAGGAAATATATGCATGTTAGTAAGGGGATTCAGTGTTACAGTTCAAGAGAACGCTGGAGGGAATGAGCATGTGAATGTAATCATTGCTACTATGGCATGTTAATGAAACCATTATTACTATGGGAATAGCAATTGTTACATTGACATGCTCATTCTCTCCTGCATTCTCCAGGTGATTATAGTGCTGCTTTAAATATTCATTTTGGGTGGACTAGCCCATAGACTAATTTAGTTTTTTCTCAGATGTTCAGGCCAAAAGGCATCATTAAAAAGGGCAATAAAATGAATGCAAAAAAAAATACATGTTTAAAAACTGAAGGAGCAAAATGTTTCTGGTAATATATTTAGAGATCTAAGATTCTTTATGTCAATAAAATATAATGAATGTTCTTATTCAATATGTATAAGATCACTCTAAGTCATTGTTGGCTTTGACCACTGCCCCATCCCTACCCCACAAAGTGGCATTTGAACCTCATGTTTAAAACAAAATTGACTTAAGGCAAACACTGTTTATTAGTTTGACTTTAAATGGCATTATTGATATTTATTTGAGGAATGGTTTGTACTGATCTGCGGTAATTAATTGCTTTGGCCGAAATTAGGAGCTTAATATCACCTACTAGTGGATAAATCTGTGTACTACTTTGTGCTAATTCTCTGTTGTCTTGGAAAGGAAACCTGAGAGAAATACATGCAATTCCTACAGGCTATACATTTCCAGCGAGTTTAGGGTACATCAACTAAAAGTATAAACATGTATTCACAGAAGAATACTAGAAACATAAAACACAAGACATTTAAATGGTATGTAAACCCAAACAATAAAGTTCTCTTATTTGGTCTCTTGTGGTCTGTTAAATATACCATCATCATTCACCATACAGCAATTGAGGCACACCAGCAGTTCATTTGCTACAACCAATGGTTTAACAAAAGCCATGGCAGCCCAATCGGTTACTATGCGGCCTTGGAGTGGAAGGAGACTCCATTATGGGACTGGAAAGGTAAATTAAAACATAGAAAATCTGTGTGCATTTGAAGACAACACATATCCATTATTGTATTATTGGGGATCACAGTGCTGTTGACATTGACCCTGTACTCCCAGTGATAAATCCAATCAGGAATGCTGATGTCAGACGTACAGAAGTAGACTTCAGAATGGTTGGTGGAGGAGACTTCAGACTTGTAGTCACAGATTCCCTTTGCAGGATGTGCATTAAGGAGAATTTGATTATCTGAATTAGTAGTCCATTGAGGGACACATATACAGTATATAATCTTAGACAAATGGGTTATACTGCTGCTTTCAGGAGGTTAGGACACTGGTAACCAAAAAACTTTAAGCCAGCCCTCTGTATAACCCCACCTTCAACCTCTGTACCTAAGGTTTTTGCTAGTGTCCTAGGAGCTGTCTAGCAACAAGTGAAGCCATCTTCCTAGCCAATCGGCAAAAGCCGGGAGGCAAGTCATAACGTGCCGCCCGGCTTCCTGATTGGCTAGGAAGCCGGCTTCACTTGTTGCTAGGCAGCCTGGCTTCCTGACCAATCAGGAGGCTGGAAGGTATCTCATGACCCACCGTCTGGCTTCCGGATTGGTCAGAACGCCATGCAGCCTCGGCAAGTGAAGCTGGCATTCTTTCACTAGAACATAGCTTCCCAGGCAATCAGGAAGCCGGGCGACGGGTCATGATCCACCACCCGACTTCCCGATAATTGGGGAACACGGCACCAGTATCAGTACTCGGTATTGGCGAGTACCAAAAAAAATATCAGTACTTCTACTGGATACCGAAAAACCAGTATCGGTGCATCCCTAGTTCTTAGGTATGGTTTTTCTCCTTGAGGTGTTTCTAAATGTCCTGGCCTGGAGCACAGGTTTGGTCTGAGTGATCTCATTTTAGTTATGGGTCTCCTATTGGTGGGCCCTTCTCCATCTAGCCTTCTATATCAGACATTAATTTCTTTGATATTTGGGGTGCTATTATTTCACATTAGTTGGATCTCTAAGAGCCTTTTGCCCACCCCCTCACTTGTGTGTCCTATTGGATGTCCTATTGGTTTAAGATTATCTATTTTTATGGTGTTTCTCAATGGATGATAAAGAAAATAAGTCTTCTTGAATTCCATTGAGAGGCAAAGGTCCCACCATTCTGTGCATTTGAAAATATTACTGCTTGCACACAAAACAAAGGCATGATAGTTGGAGGCGGGGTTATACAAGATGCTGGCTTAACATTTTATGTTAGTGTCCTAACCTTCTGAAGACACCAGTACAAGCCATTCATCTAAGATCATCTACTGCACTATTCCTGTGTCCTTCAATGGACTCAAACAAAAAAAAATATTTTACGGTAAGTTCAAAAATCTTATTATTTACTACAATAACAAAAATATTCAAGAACAAATGTGTGCAAATGTGGAAGATGTATAGAAAATGACTAAATACTCCAATAATAACTCCAAATATGACAATACAGAATACTTTCCATTTAAATGATGAGATTGCCTATAAATAATGACCTAGGTCAGTGAAGGCTAAAAAGGAAGACACAACAAACACTTTCTATGAACCTCATCATTTTGTATTTGGTTATATGTAGAATAACAAGAAATAAGGCATAATTCTTGTACAGGTCCTTGGTTGCATTTTGTATTAAGCGTGATTTGCGTGGGCTGCAAATGTCAGTCCTATTGTCAAGGCCTGAATGTCTAGCCAGGTACTAATCCCTGTTACAGCCAAAACCAGATAAAGTTTAATTCCTAATAAATCCTCAAGGTGAGAGCTGGGTATAAAAGCGACTGATTTACATTGTGTCAATGACTAGGATCCACCAGCACAGGCATAAAGGTAATACTGCATGTCCGCTTTATTTACCATGGGGTTTAATCTATTGTGTGTCAGCATAGCATTAGTCAGTCTCTTGGTTAAGTTATAGTGTTTGTTATTGTGACATATAATGGCAGATTTGAAAATATACCTACTGACCGCCGAAAGAGGAAAGATAAACTGGTTGCTTTAGTTCATCAGAGGCTTATTGGTTTCAATGTTATATATGTACAAAGGAAGGGGAAGGTTAGAATAAGTTAAAGGTTGTCTGTTCAGTCACGGAGTTGGGGTGGGAAGGAGGCGTGTTGCAGAGAAAGACCAGTTCTGCTACCCTACCGGGCAGGACTCAGCGGTGTGGCAGAGTTGTGTAACCCTTAAATCTAGGTGGCAGGAAATTCTTTGATAGGCTCTAAATCTCTCATGCATGTATTTCATCTGTGTATTTAAATGTTTTTTACTGGACTTCAGCTTTAGGTATTAAACATTTTTGTGAAGCCTTTATTAGTACATTGTACTGAACTACGTTATCTCTCAAACAGAATGGAGAAGATAATTCTGTACGGGCTGGTTATGTTCTGGAATGTAATTCTGTGCACAACCTGTGAGCTTTCTAATATTACAATTGTGCTGGAAAAGGAGGAATGTGGAGCCTGCATCTCTGTGAATGCCACTTGGTGCTCAGGATACTGCCACACCAAGGTGAGTGTAATGAGGAGTTTATATAAAGATTCTGTATTCAAAACCTGCATCCTAAAGCCAACACAGCACAGAAGTACAGTGAATACAACTTGCCAGAGGACACCCAGCCTGCCAAAAGATAGCAGTGAATGCTGGGGCTTGTAGATTCCCATTAGAGATAAGCTTGGGCTTGGTGTGAACCCAGTTCACCTGTGTTTGCACAAGCCTGCTGAAAACTTTGACTGTCACTCGCACCTAGTGGCACAATTAGTGGGGGAAGTTGCGGTGGAAGCATTCTCCACCCCTTTGTGATGTATAGCTGTGGGGCAGGTAATGCGCTTCATTGCAACTCAATGGTTCAGGAGGGGGGGAGTCTTGTGAACTGGGTTCACACCAAGGCTCATCAGTATTTCCCAGCAGCTGGAGAGCCAAAGTTTGTCTCTACTTATGGAAGATATATGGTATCATTTGGCAGTAAGAACATAAGTCACATTTATTTAGGAATCAGCATTCCTGCAGGGGAATGGAGTGGTGGGAAAGTGCAAAAAAAAGAAAATTATTAGTGTATGGGGGAGGGGGGTCCTACCAAGAGAACTTAATGGTCAAAGTGACAGGTCATTTTTAATGAAGTGACAGAAATATGGAAGAACATGCAGAAGTGGGGAGATCCGTTCTTAAAACCTGGTTCTGCTGGGTTGAGATGTACCCACTTGGCAAAATACCAAAAACATCTATAACATGGTTAAGTTTTGCTATCGTGCTACACGCCTAAAAATAGAAAAAACTTGGGACAACAGACCCCCACTCCCCAATTTTCACCACCAATGTTTTTTTTTTTCTTTTTCCTTCTCTTTCTGCCTTTTTATTCTCCTTACATCCCTTACTTCCTGCATATATCTCATCCCCTTCCTTTTTTTAAAACCTGAACTTCCCCTAATGCCCTCTTCCCCCAGTCCTCCTTCTTGCTCTTTTTTCACTTCCCCCTTTCCATATGTCTTTCTCCCCCCGAACGTCCCTTTCACACTGGCTGATCAGGAGGGGATCCATGCACATCCGTGTCTGCGATGGAGGAAAGAACTCAAAATTCCAGATCCCATGTCAGTCTATGGGAGTCGGATGTAAATGGACATGTCTGGAGTTAGGGGGTCATCTGTTTACACCTGGCTGCCCATAGACTAGCAGTGGGCCTCCGATTAGGTCCGCCTATAAAACTCACAGGCAGACCCAATTGGACCTCCCATGTGCAAGGGGCCTAAATCTGCTCCCCATCCACCTACTAAAGGCCTCTTCCAAAATACACAAATTAACAGAAATGTGGTGGAGAAGGGTGTCAGATCTAAGAATTGATACAGCCACAAGAGAACTGCATAACCTTTTTTTTCCTCCCACATATAAATGAAAAGCATTGCAAGACAAGTACTTATTGCTTGATAATGTATGGCTTTCCCTTGTCACCAACTTCCTAAATACAGACCTTTCTTTAAATATGGGAAGATCATATCAAAAATGAAAGCGTATGTAACCCCTAACAATGAACTTCTCTTATATTCTCCTGGTTGGTCTGTTAAATATACCATTGAAAGTCTTTTTGTTATATCTATGCAATAAAATGCCTGTAGACCCTGCCAGAATTATTGTTAACTAATAACTTCCTGTGCTCCCTGCCTATTCTGAGTTATTATTATGAATTGTTCTGAGCTATCTCTGGGGATTAAGTAACACCTGCCTCCTATGTTATAGATACTACCACTTACTACTACCATTTACTACCACTTTAATGCATGGAGGAAGCCTTAGCGGACTTACTTGCGCAAAATAATAAAATGCCATTAGTAGATTGCTAAGGGTTAATAAGTGCATTTGATTCAATCATGCCTGTTTTTACGCTGTTTATGAAGCTGTCCACAGCGATCAGTCTCTGTGCTCATAACCTGCTAGCTAGGTCTCAGGCAATGATAAAATATGACATAGTCATGTGAGGGGAGAAGTGGTAAACTGGATACTGTGGTTTACGGAGACAAGTGAGGCAAAGAACACCAGTCAACTTCAGATTACATGCAGCTTCTTCATTGTGAGGATATATCCCCTCCGCTGCACTACAGCACAGTGCAAAATGTTCCAAAAAAGTGTCCACTTTTACAAAAATGTATTTTAGCTGGGAACCGAGGTAAACTTTATCTATGCAGCGCCTTCATAACCATCTTAAATTGTATTGTAACTGTAATGTCTTCCTTATATTGTAAAGTGTTCTACAAGCTGTTGACATGATATACATTTTGTATAATACTAATAATAATAATATACATTTGCATGTACTGTATTTGCACCTTTCTTTATTCTAAATGTTTTCCTCTTACCTTTCAGGATCCAAATTTAATGTACCCACATAAGTCTGAGAAGCAAGGTGTCTGCACGTACACTGATGTCGTTTACGAAACGGTGAAAATTCCTGGATGTGCTGAGAATGTAAATCCGTTCTACACTTATCCGGTGGCTATCGACTGTCACTGCGGACGGTGCGATTCAGAAACCACCGATTGTACAGTGAGGGCTTTAGGGCCTTCTTACTGTTCTCTAAATCAAGACTGAGTAATAGAGATTGTACTGTTATACTTTCCAGACTGTCTTACACATACCTGTCTCTCTTATCAGCTGCAATGCCTAAGCCTCTAACTAGGGTGGGACAACCAAAGCCCTTCAGCTGTTGAGGAACTACAAACTCTAGCATGTCTTGTCTGCCAGGGTCTGCTAATGCATGCTGAGACTTGCATTCCTTTATTCCTCCCATTGGTCCCAATGTTGACCGAATTGTCATGATTTAGACAACCTGTCAACTGGTAAATCAGCCTCAATGGATTGGACAGAATGAAAGACAGGGTTTAATATATTCCTTTCTTCATTTTAAAAGGTTGCATTTCATCAACAGCTGGAGGTCTGCTGGTTATTAATGCCTATTAAGCAATATAATTATGTATATATACATGTAAGAAATGTAAATCAATGATTTCATTTTCTCTAAGGGGGTATATATATAAAGCAACAGCCTTACCCCGGATGTACTTCTGTTTTAACAAAAGAAAAAACAAAGAGAGAGAACTCTGTGCAGCCATATGCTTTACAAATACATTGTGGTCCACAAAAGCAACGTGGAATAACAATGAATAAAGGGCTTAACCTGTCAAAGCCATGTGACCAGTCTCTTTTTTAATTACCGAGTTCTCGCTGCTGCGTTCAGCAGACAGAACTCCACAAGCTCCACACCGTGGCCTGCATTTTGAGTGGTTCTTTAAATGCCGACCATAGTATGGAGTAATCTAGCAGTGTGTATTGGACAGCGATGTCATTCTGAACTACACCTCATGCAGTCCCAATGCCCAGACCCGGCTCTGTAGCTCTCCTCCAGCTGTGATAGTTGGCACTATATGGGCAATATATGTTCATTTACAGGCCTGCTCCTACCAAAATTATGTGGGTGGTGTTTTGGATACAGTGAAAAGGGGTCTACAGTTAGGAGACTTCCCCCTTACCTCCTGTCTAACAGAACAGGAAGTGAAGTAACATTTCTTTATTTCCTGTTTATTTGACAAGCTCATGAACAGAACAGGACGTGAGGGTAAATCTTCCAAACAGGGACACAGGCCGCAGGAAAAACTGATTTACAAAAAGAATCTGGAAGACTTAGAACTTCTGGCAGAATTTTACTGGAGTCTGTGTTCCTATGCGGTCGATCTGTTCCCTCACTTCCTGCCTGAGGAGCTTAGGAAATAAGTATGTATTTCCTATGCTTCTAAGTTGCATCTAGTGGCCACAATGTGGTATTGCATTACATTACATTCAACCATGAAAAGAAAATATACTTAGAAAGTTTGTTCATGCCTTTATTCTTACAGAATTAACGTTCACAGAGATCCTCAGGGTGAATAGACCCCTGGGTGTTGTGGTGTTATATGATGTCCCTATACTATGGATGCCATCTGGGACAGTTCCGCATCTTGGTCCTCTGTTGCGATGATGTTGTGTTCCAGGGTCCCAATATCACCCTTATTTCAGTTACTGAACATGCACAGTGACTCAATAAAGGGTATCAGCTGAGGTGATCATGGCCGCGGGTGGGTTAATCTGCATATTTAGTGGAAGTGGACCTGATCCAGGCAGGACCACCCAGGAGGTTGGCGTGTCAAGTGTAGGTTGTGGGTGAGGTTGACAGTGTCTTGGGAACTGGGACTAATATGTTGGTAAGCATGCTGTAAATCTCATATGCCAAAATGTATGTAATTCCTAAAGTTTCACAAACTTTTTCTTGCAATTGTAAATAATGGCTTAGCAATAAGTGGTTGTCCCAACATCTATTCAAGTATACATTTTATCAAATCCTCTATGTCTTTGTATTTGATCTGTAATCTTCAAATGTACTTTGTCCTAAGCTCTGCAGTTTGTATCATTCAAAGTAATCTGAAGGTGCAATAAAGATGTGTTATACCCTCCATTGATGTCTTGGTTTTAAATTCATTTCAGTATTTGCCATCTTTTTTTGGGATCCTGCTTTTAAACTGGGCACTTTCCTCAGTGATTCCATTTTTCAGGATATGTTTTTGTTTAGACATAAATAATATACTTTAAACATTCCATTTCTGGCAGTTTTTCTACTGTGTTTGCACTTTCTGAAAGGGAAGGAGAAGTGTTGTAGCTTAGGTAACAATGACAGGTATTGACTTAGATATAGCATCATTTTGCATGTTTGGATTGGAGTCTGTAAGGATTTGGGTGAGATATAGGGGGTTATTCACTAAGCTGCCAAACACTCGGCTAATCCTTCAGCTCGCTTCAGCCGCTATTCTCAACAAAACAAATTATCCTGTTTAACAGTATGTGCTAAAAACAGAGGTTTTAATTGCACAAACCTTTAGGCAAAAATATGCAGAACACATGAACTGTCAGGTTGTTCGGCTGGCTATAGAGCTGGCGGATCGCTTGTATAAGCTGCCGACCCATGTCCCCCCCCCTCCCCCACGGCCCCCCATCCCGCTGTCACGCTGGTCCCGGGCTCTGCTGTGCCCGGAAGGAGCCCGGGACCAGCATAGTGCCTCTCTGACAGGGGATTAGAGGGAGGTCGGTACACGATCTCCCTCCGGTGTCAGAATGCGGAAGTGATGTATATTACATCACTTCCGCATTCTTGTGTCACTCTCCAGCTTCAGACGCTGGAGAGAAGCTGATGAAGCAGATCTCTGCTTCATCAACTTCTTCAGGGGGTCCTAGGTGACATTAGGGGTCCTGGAGAACCCCTGATGTCTCCATAAAGAGGACCTGCCACATTTTTTGCAATCACATAGGGCGTTTTTTAGACCCCTATCTGATAGCAATAAAGTTAAGTGGAAAAAAAAATAGGAAAACGACGATTGCGCCCATTACGCTGCACATGTTACATATCGTCACGAACGTCGTAGTGAGATCAATAATTCTAGGGCCATCAATCACTGATAACACTAAACTGATGAGCTGTAAAAGCTTTTAAAGCGTCGCCTATGGTCAATTTTGGGTATGGTAGTTTTTTGCGATTTCGCGGGTGCGCGCAATTTTTAAGCTTGACATGTTTGGTGTCTATTTACCCGACGTGACCCCATCTTTTAAATTTTACCAAAAAATTAAGTAATAATAATTGTTTCCTAACAATGTTAAAAAATGTTTATTTTTTTTCAACATTTTCAGTAATTTTTCCCAAATATTAGGGATGCACCGATACCGATACAAGCATCGGTATCGGCCGCAATACCGAGTATTTGCATGGGTACTCGTGCAAATGCTCTGATGTCTAAAACGAGTACCTGTGTCCGCCATCTTCCACCGCCGCACACAGCACACAGGACCGCGTCTGCATTCATGCAAGATGGCCG